GCTGGCAAATTATGGAGCAACCACATCTTCATACATTGCTGGTGGAAAAACAAAATTAACCAATAATTCTGGAAAAGGCTGGCCCTGTGTTACAAAGATAAACATACACTTACTATATGACCTAACCACTTCATTCCAATATTTACCCTTCAGAGATGAAAATTTATGTTCATACAAAAACCTACATATAAATGATTGTAGTAGTTTTATTCATAATCAACAAAAATTATAAACAACCTAAATGTCCTTCAATGGGTTAATGGTTAAGAATACTGTGGTACATTACAAGGAAAACCACTCATCAATAAAAAGGAATAAATAACACAACAATGATGAATATCAAAGCCTTTTACTCAATGCGAGGTGGGGAGCCAGTCATGAAAAAAAGCACAAGGGGAATTTGTTGGTGCAGTGGAATTGTTCTGTACCCTTTGTGGTGATTTTTACACAAGTCTACACAGGTCGTTTTAAGACAGAACTGTGGAAGGAAGAAAGGAGAAAGGGAGAAATAAAGAGAAAGGGGTGAAGGAGGAGGAAGATGCAATAGGAGGAGGAGAGAGGGGAGGAGGAGGAGAAGGAGGAACTATTATAACCGCACACAATTACGGTGGTAGTTACAAGGGTAATATCTTCGTCAAACATGGCAAACACCTTTAAGTGGGTGAATTTTATTGCATACTTTGATAAAAGCTGATTTTGCAAAAGTTCAAAAAGTTATTTTAAAAGACTAGTAAAATAGACAAATCTCTAGAAACATGATCAAGAGAAAATGCGAGGCTACAAATAAGCCATATCAGGAAAGAAAAAAGGGACACAAGTTCACATAGAACAAGTACTTGAAAATAAAAATATTTTAAACATTTCGATGACCAAAAAGGATACATTTTTAGAAAAACCTACAATTTTCTAGACGAAACAGTAAATCTAAATAGCCCCTAAAACCACTCAAACCACATATTACAAACATAATAATCCCAGTTTAACGATGAATACAGCAGAAATTCAAGGGACACAAACTCCCCCAGAGATGGGGAAAAAAAAAAATCACCAAATTGGGTAAATCCCAGGAATGCAAGGATTCTTTAACATCAGAAAATCAATGTACTTTACCACATTAATAGATTAAAAGAAACCACACGATTAGCTCAAAAGATACAGATTTTACCAGGATCCCAGAAAACTTATTTAAAAATATAAAAAGCCTCATTCCATCATATTCACAGTTGTTTCTATTCGGCTACACCGCTGTGGAGCATACATGACAGACATGTCCTCTTCTAAATGACTATCAATAGTACCTACTAGTTATATAGCACCTGATAGCTCACAAATCACATTGCATCCATTTTCTACCTAACTCTAGTCATTCTCAAATAGGCATTAAATTTTAAAACATATATCTATGAGGAAACAGATTTCAAAGGATGAAAGTGACTTGTCCCAAATCCCAATTATTTTCATTCTTTGCTGATTCTCTATATCATATGTCATATGGCAAATTAAAGTGAACAGAGAACCACATGTAGGTAATATATAACTGGAAAAAATATCCAAAATTCTAAGTCCAGTTCTCCAGTGCTTCTCATACATTTTTTGAACAAAAATACAAATTAAAAAAATTTAACCCTACGGTTTATATTGTTAGTCATATCTATCCTTCTCAAGTTTATAACCTACAATTAAATGCTGGTGTTTCCTCAATTTAAAAACTATAGTTCCTTCAAAGCTAGATGAAGCAGGCCAATAGTTTCTACCTATCAAATTAGAAGCTTATCTTCAGGAAACCAGTGAGCATTCCTTTTAGTACCTATTCCTAACTGGTTACAAATGACTTGCATATACCACAAACTCTTAGGTTATGTACCAAAAACCCTATATATACCACAACTTGATGTGTGATTTCAGTGTCAAGCACAAAAATGTCACAGGAAAGGTGGAGCACTACCTTATCCTATTGCTCTCACTAAGTAGAGCTAAAAATCCTGGATATTATATACAAAGCAAACATAAAAAGGTTCTAAAAGATGGAGAGAGAATGGAGTGACTAGGGACCTCAGAACTCAAGGAAGAATACAGCAGTGACTTTCTTGGGTTTTCTTATTGCCTAATCTATCCCAGACTGGGTTCTGACAGAGAAGCTGACAACCTGGAAATGCCAACAGACACCAACAAGGGAGAAAAAAAGGCCAAGACAAGTCTGGTTTTTTTAGCCAAAGGACTGGGAAGGGAGCAGCCTAGCAAGACAGAAAATCACAATCCTACTTCAAAGACCACAGAAGAAAGCTATGGTCCTATCCACACCAACAAAGGCCTATGTTTCCACCCTCACCAGGCTGTAACAAGGGTCCTCCATCCTCCACTTTTACCCTAAGGGTGTGGTTGAACAACCATTTGATAAAGAGATCATGAATGTGACTCATGGGTTTGGCAGCCCCATCAGAAGCCAGGAACATAAATGGGATTATACCAGCAGAGACACAGCCAGCTATTACTAAAGGGGAGAGGAAAACAACAAAATAAAATGAAGGTAGGCTTTAGGGCTTCTTAGATCATATAGAACCAGACTAGAGAGCCATTTTTCTATGAATGTTTTATTCTTCAAGAGAATGACACTGAAAACAATTCAGAGACCACTGGGAATACTTCCTGTTTCAAAGGGTGGAACCATCACTTTGGTTTTCAACAGGACAGAAAGGCTCCAGCTGAAGACTTAGAGGAAGAATTGCCCTGCAGAGGCTTAGGAGAGGGGCCACCTGGCAGTACCACAGAGATAGGACCACTACTCCAGTGGGTCCAGAAGGCAGGGCATTGAGTAAAAGAGAGTTATTATCACAAGATCTGATGAAATGTAACCTCTGAAGAATTTGCCTTACTAAGTTCTGGACTTGCTCAGGACCCATTCCTCCTCCTCCTTTCCTATTTCTCCCCCTGTGGAATGGGAATGCCTACATTACGTCTAGATCACAAATGTATTTTGGAAGCACGTAACTTCTTTGGTTTCATGGGTTCACAGCTGGGGAGTAATTTTGCCTCAGGATAAATTGTGCCTTGACTCTTACCCATATCTGATTTAGGTGATATTTACTTGAAGGTCTGGATTTTACAGCTAATGCTAGAATGAGTCAAGGTTTTAGGGGCTGTTGGAGTGGAATAAATATATTCTGCATTCAAGAACATAAATTTGGTGAGGGGGGGAGGCTGTGATGGAATATTATTAATTAGATGTATCCCCTCCTTCCCAAAATTATGTTGAAGCCCTAATCCCCAATATAATTTATTGGAGACAGGGTTTTTAGGTGGCAATTAGGGTTAAATGAGATAATAAGGGAAGAGTCCTAATCTGCTAGAACTGGTGGACTGATAAGAAGCGTGAGCTATTTCTCTCTTCCTCTCCCCATTGGCCCCCCATCTGCATGCACTACACACATGGGAGGACACAACGAGAAGGCTGCCATCTGTAAGCCAGGAAGAGATCCCTCACTAGAAGCAGAGTCCGCAGGCACCTTGATCTTGGACTTCCCAGCCTCCAGAACTGTTAGAAATAGGTAATTTTTTGAGTCACCCAGTCAGTCTATGTTATCTTGTTAAAGCAGATTGAGCAGATTCAGGCAGAAATCATCAAGAAAAAATGAACAGAGACTCAAGAACTTGTGAGACTACAACCAAAGAGCCTTTCATTAGAGTCCCAGGAGAAAAGGAGTAGAAGGTGGGGGCTAAAATGTAAAATGTATTTAAAGAGATGATGGCTGAAAATCTCCCAAATTTGGCAAAAGACATAGCCTGTAGATTGAAGAAGCTAAGCAAACCCCAAATAGGGTAAACTAAAAGAAATCCACACCAAGATACATTATAGTAAAACTTCCTCAATATTAAAAACACTCAAAATAATGTGTCCAATAATCTTTAAAGTTTCAATGAAAAACGTATGTAGCTTCCTGCTTCACCTCCATGCCTCAAGTTATGGCGAAGAGCCTCCAATCCGCTAGCACGATGTGAGGATCCGGAAACTGCCCCCACGATGGAAGAGGACCAGGAGCTGGAGAGGAAAGCAATAGAAGGAGGCAAATAATGATAAGAAATACGGGGAAAATTAGAGCTGAAACAATGGGACCCCTGGGTTGGATGAAGTGTCCTCTTGCTGGTACCAATAAAAGATTTCTAACTAACACAACTAAAAACACATTGCACTCTCATAAAGAGCAAGACCATGAACGAAAAGAAGACAATAAGGAACCAGCAAAGAGCCACACCCAGAAAGAAGACCCAAAGAAACACAGAAGCCATCTTTACAAGCATAACTTCTGTGCTCAAGGTTATCAGTTGCTCCCCACCACAAAAGTGGAGCAGCCAGGACAAGTACAAAAAGTGACCCAATTGGTGGTGAGGCCGGAGCTAGGGCCAGCAAGCCCTGTGGGCTCTGTGCTTCTTCAGGGGTGCAGTATGCAGAGAAGGTGTTAACTGGCAACGCAGATACCTGAGAGTGACTTTTACAGTAGGTCCTTTGTTGTTCTTAAAGAGGCTGCTGGTCATGGGCAAAAAGTGACCTAGCAACTCTTCTAGGAAACAAGTACAAAGGAGGATGTCTTGCCAATTTTAAGCTACATCTGCAGTGTAGTAGACATATGTATTGTTGTTAGTCTACCTTGTTTAGAAGTGTGTTTCAAAATAAACATGTCTAGAATTTTAAGTTTTCAAAAAAAATTATATATATATATATAATTGAAATTATATATATATATAATTGAAATTATATATATATATAAAATTATGTATATATATATATATATACACACACACACACACACACATATAAAGATGCCACCTACCTCTACCTAAGAGTAAAATGGTAAAAGGTATTTCAAAGTCTTTCCAAGTTTTTCATAATCTAATATATAGTGTCAGTGGAAATCTACAACTAAACTTTACTGTACGCTATAAAAAAATCTAAGGTACAAACTAGATAAAAATGAGGTAAATCTTTATAAATAAGCACATTCTCAGGCAACTCAGATACCTTAAAACAGTTTGAACACATCAAAGGTCTCTTCTGTACTCAATATTCTATGCTGTGGGTCTTGACCCTTGGAATTAACATGATTTATAGTAGGTGATGTCTCAATAAGCAAGGTCTGAAAGACAAAAAGGGCAGAAGCAAACACCCTGCATTATCCTGCAGCCAACATTCCTTAGCTGCAGGGTAAAGTTACCCTCACAGAAACTTTTCAGCTGACCAATTAGCAAGTCTAATATTTTTCATGGCTGTGAATATTCAGTTAAGTAGTTATCATAGTCAACATTTCTTGAGTTCGTTCCCCCAGGTCTTTTTTTCTATCCTTTCCCTCTACTTCCTTTGGCTCAAGAATGAAGGACAACTTCCCTTCTTCCACCACTCCTGACTCTGGACAAACTCATTGTGAATTCTCAATCTCTTATTTCTACCTGTGCAACTTCTCTAAAAAGATCACTTATCTCTTTAAAACTTATATTCTTAGTATTATGAAAACACCTGGCACAGTCAAGATGTCCCCTTTCCACCATGCCACACCCCATTTCTCTCCCAAGGCTATGGTAATTTACATACACATTAGGATGTTACACATAATTTTTCTCTTTCCTGAGGGAAATTCAGTGTCCTCTGCCAGAACACTTTTAAAAATATAAAACTATACTTTCACAGTCTAATTATGCTACATCCCACATCAGCAATGATTTGTCAATATTTTTTGTTGCAACACAGACTTGAATTTCTTTGTAGACTCCCACAGCAAGTATGGTAAATGCTCAAAAAGTATGCTCTGAATGTAAACCACATTTACATGGTCTTTATCCAGTATGAATTCTCTTGAGTTGGCCAAAGGCTAAATGCTCACTAAAAGCTTGGACATATTCCTTGGTTTTCCCTCCAGCATGAGTTTTCTGATGTTGAGAGAGGGATGAACTCTGGCTGAAGGCTTTTCCACATTCCTTACACTTGTAGGGCTTTTCTCCAGTGTGAGTTTTCTGATGCTTTGTAAGAGATGAGCTCTGGCTGAATGCTTTTCCACAATCTTTACATTTGTAAGGTTTCTCTCCAGTGTGTGTTCTCTGATGACGAATAAGGGCTGAGCGGTCACTGAAGGCTTTGGCACAATCATTGCATTTATATGGTTTCTCCCCAGTGTGAGTTCTCTGGTGCTGAGTTAGGGCTGAGCAGTAGCCAAAGGCTTTCCCACATTCGTTACATTCATAGGGCCGCTCCCCAGTATGAGTTCTCTGGTGCTGAATAAGACCTGACCGATCACTAAAGGCTTTGCCACATTCATTACACTTATAAGGTTTCTCTCCAGTGTGAATGACCTGATGCTGGGTAAGAAATGTGCTTTGGCTAAAAGCCTTCCCACATTCATTACACTCATAAGGTTTCTCTCCAGTATGAATTCGCTGATGTTGAGTGAGGTATGAACTCTGATTAAAGGCCTTCCCACATTCATTGCATTCATAGGGTTTTTCTCCAGTATGAATTATATGATGCCGAATAAGGGCTGAGCGATGACTAAAGGCTTTCCCACATTCATGACATTCATAGGGTTTCTCTCCAGTATGAATTCTCTGGTGCAGAGTAAGGTGTATGCTCTGGCTAAAGGTTTTACCACATTCATTACATTCATAGGGTTTTTCTCCGGTATGAATTCTCTGATGCAAGACAAAAGCTGAGTAGTAACTGAAGGCTTTCTCACACTCATTACATTTCCAAGGTTTCTTTCCTGCACAAATTCTCCCATGCCTAATTATATCTGAGTTTTGTTTTAAGTTATTTTTAAATGAATCACAATGATGTAGTCTCTTTCCTTGCTGCTGAACAAGTAAGGACCTCCGAGTGCAATTTCTTCTAAATTCATCAAATTGGTAACTTCTCCCTCTAGAAGATTTCTGAGTGATAGCCTCTTGTATTAAATGTTTCTCATGGTTTTCCTGCTGACTCTTTAAAGAATCCTCACATTCACTGGAACCTTCCTTTGAAAATCTTACGATTAACACCCCAGGGGCTGATTCTTCTTCAGAAATCTCCTTCTCTGGAGTTAGCTCCTTGCTTTCTGGTATCATTTCCCAGTCTGAAAAAAGCAAAAGTACACATGTAAATCATTTCCTACACTGAGAGAAAAATAACTGCTGTGGTAGGAAAATAATGAGACAAAGAATATTTATAGAGAACACATGAACTTGAAAGCTCTCAAAAATAATCTTGCAATCTTGAGAGAACACAAGAAAAAAAGATGATTGGGCAAAGAAGTACAGCTGCACAAAAAGACAGTGCGTGTAGGTACTCAACATTCCTCTTCTCAGCAGGATAGGAAATTACAAAGAATAACAGAATAAGACTAAGAAGAGGTGATGTGGGGAAATACCAGATTTTTAAATAAAGGATTTAGAGAAGACAGGGCTAGGATCAGAGAAAGATGGTCTTCCAAAGACTCACTGTACCTATCTGACCAGCAGAGCCTTATCACTTCATGCCGAGAATGACCATCTCGGTAGCTCATCTCCTTGCTACCAATCTTTTCCTACTCCAATATGTCCCAACCACTACTAAAAGAATAATCTCTCAAAACCATCTCTCTTTTACAAAAATCTGTTGGTTCTAATGTCTCAATATGAGACACAAATTCTAGAAGCTAGCATTCAACATGGTCCAGGTCTACAAACTCAAATACCATAAAGCTTAGTACCTGGAAAGCAACTAATCACCTCTGATTGTTCACCATCACCCTAAACTCAGCAAACTGGAAAGAGTAAACCAGAACCAAGAAGAAAGAAAAAAGGAAGAAAAAAGAAAAAAAGGAAAGAAAGAAAAACAGCAGCGTGTTGGGAAAGGAAGGTTAAAACTTCATGTGCTCAGATTAGCCTCCAACCTCTCAAGATACCTGCCCTAAGTTCCTGGGCTTCCTAGTAAGGATTTGGGGGTGGGGGCAAAGCTTCATTGCTAAAAATGTGTAAATACTTCCAAGCCTAGATGGCCTTTAATATCCATGTCAATCATGTCTCTACATGAAATAAATTAATACAGTGTTCTCAATTAGATATACTCAGGGGAGTGCCTGGGGTTTTAAAGGACAAATAAGTAGAAGAGGTTTAAGGCAAATGGACTTCCAGCTAAGGGGAGTGGAAAAAATAAAGCCCCAAATGGTTGGGGAGGCAGGTAAGGGACTTGCCTATCTGATGTTAAGTTGAAGAACAGAGAAAGCAAAAGGTTAGGCAGGTAGACTAACAACAGCTTTGAAAGCAGGTAGAGGAATACAGAATTGGCAGAGTAAGGAACTCAATGGGCAATCTAGCAATATTATGCTGCCTCAATTTTACAAGAATAAAACTAAAGAAAGTATAATTAGCCAGTAGTCTATTGCAGTAATGCAGTTTGACAGAAGTAATAGGGTCAAACTCATAACATCTTTCAAAGAAGTTATTAGAACTTAATAACTATCATTTGCTTAGCATAAAGCCATTTGTCTCAGATTATTTCCTTACATTGTTATGTTACCATAATAATATAAGCTTTTTGTTCTCATTATCTCCATTTTACCATGGGGAAATTCAAGTCACAGAGAATACAAGTCACCTGTTAAAGGTCACAAAGCTAATGAGTAGCTAAGATCACCTTTAAACCAAGGAAGTCTGGTTCCAAAGTCTACAGTCTTAATCATCATGCTATCCTGCCTCTGCTTAGACAGAGAAGGCAGCAAGGGAAAACCCAGAGATCAATTTAAAATGGCATCCTGCAAAGATAAAATAATACATGTAAACAATCCTGGTTTAGAGCCTTGAAACCAAGCAAGTTATTAACAAAAATGAAAACGTTGGTTTCATTTCACCTTAATTGGGAAAAAGAATTGGTGTGAAAGAATAGAAAGGCTGGGTGCAATGCCTCATGCCTGTAATCCTAGCACTTTGGGAGGCCGAGGTGGGTGGATCATCTGCAGTCAGGAGTTCGAGACCAGCCTGGCCAACATGGTGAAACCCTGTCTCTACTAAAAATTCAAAAATTAGCTGGGCATGATGGCACATGCCTGTAATCCCAGCTACTTGGGAGGCTGAGGAAGGAGAATCTCTTGAACCAGGAGGTGGAGGTTGCAGTGAGCCAAGATCACGCCGCTGCACTCCAGCCTGCACGATGGGAGCGAGACTGCATCTCAATTAAAAAAAAAGAGTAGAAAGTATTTACTTTCTAAAAAATCAAATTATAACTTTATAAACAGATCGCCATCCACAGAGCTGGGATGTGGCACAGGGGAGAGATGGGGACTTCAACTTTTCCATGGGTCTAGCAAAATCTGGATAGGCTCCTCTTCCATAAGCATTTCCATTGACCATCTGGGTTCTACAGGCACTGTTTCCAACACTCACATACCTGGACTGGCTGCTTTTGAGACTTCTCTCTCCAGCTCCTCCTCATGCTCCAACTGAGAGATGACATCAGGTGTGGAAATTGGAAGCCCTATTCATAGGGAAAGAAAAAGGAGTCAGTAAAGAGGTCAGTGTTCATCATTCCTCGGTCTTCAGGAACACAATAAGAGAGGGAGAGAGTGAGGTCAGTTCTCCATTTCTTTTTCAACAGTGCTCAGGAGGTAGGAAGATTGATAGGGGTTCATTTGAATCCCATGTCAATTTTACCTCCTCCTATTTAAAGAATAAGCACCCATTCTCTTAAGAGTTGTTTTCGTTGGCACTTTGTCTCTAAATCCTTGGTCAAGGAGTAGAGAAGAAGGATGCTACAGGTCCATAGCATAAAGATGTTTATGTCTAATTCCACAAGGGTTAAAACTATATCCAGAAACAGAAAGCAGAAATTGTCTGTCTCAGGCTCTACTAGAATTAAAAATCATTGAATGTAAGGACCTTGGAGCTCCTAGGAATTGAGGAAGCCAACGTACCACACTGGGTAAATTCACAGGCATTAGGGGAGCCATCCTTACCCAGCAAGACCAGATTCCTAGGCTTCTCAGGCACATCTCCCTGAGGAGAGTTCAGCTGCCTCCACTGGGTGAAAGCCTCGGCCATATCCCTGACCATCAGTTCCTGAAAAACCAAACACATTGGTGCTTACCAATAAGCCTCCTTCCAGAGGCCTCTGAAGAGAGTTAAAACTGACAATACAGAAGGAGGAAGACAGGAAGGATAGAAGAGGACAGACAAAATAGCCTCAGCCACCCTTTCCAATACTAAGATTCTCTGGTGAATTTGTAGTCTACACACTCACACTTTGCTTCCAGGTAGCAGAACTGCATATTACCTGCAAGTAGGAGGGAAAGTACCTTCAATGTAAAACTTGAAGGTATGCACTTCTTAGTTTATGTATCAATAAATTACAGAATTATAAAATTTGCAACTACTTACACAGGAAAAAGGGGAGAAAAATGTAATTACAAATTAAGTATTTTCCTTATGGTATACTTTTTAAAATATATGGGGTTCAATAAATTGAAGTATTTTTTTCTCTAGTTTTCCTTTCAAAATGAAATCAGTCCCACATATACTAAACATTAAGATGTTTCCTACACATTTCACAGAATATAAATTTATTTGTAAAACAGTATCTGAAGCCCAAATTATGAGTTTCCAGAGTGTTCTTGTCATTTTTCACAATGACCCTGATCAGTCTGTCCCCGTCCCCTAGTTGATGACATTCTTTCATCTGCTTGTAGTGTGTGTCTCATTCCCTTTAGCCCCTTTACACATCCTGCTTACTATTCCTGAATATTCTGCCCACTGCACCCTCCTTTCAGCAATGTGAATCCTTCTCTCCCTTCAGATCTCAGCTCAGGTGTTACCTCAAGGGAAGCCCTCCCTGACTCCTAGTTATAGCACATGTTCCTTCCCTTCTCTTGGGTTGTACACATGGAGAGGATTTTGTTACTAACATAGGCTCCATAGGCGTAGAGGCCAGGTCTATTTTTGCTCACTGAAGCAGCGCTACTACTCGGCACAGTGTAGAAACCTGTAAATATTTGTGGAATATTTGAATGAAGAAAGGAAGGAATTAACAATAATTAGTAGAAACAAGTTTAAATGGGATATTCTATAAAAGTGTGCATGGGAACAGAAGTGAGCAGAAGAACAGAAGTGTATCAAACATCGAAAACAGGAGTGTTTAGCCTAACTTTCATCTAGATGGCAGGCACAAAGTTTAGTTTGTTTACTAAAATATTGAAATAAGGGAGTAGGGAAGGTAATGCTCCTTTAAATCTGTTACTGCTGATAAGATAAATGTCTAACAATTTTTCAAATTCTGTTTTTCAAATTTCTATACAACTACAACTTAACTGAGATAGAGTAAAATAAACCAGTCCTTGGGTTAGCAAATGAATCAGTTTTACCTCTCTTTAAACTACCACTTTGGCCACAGTCCCTTGAATATACATATGAATCGTACTGTTAATTTTGTTTATATTCAACTTTCTAAAGTGTATTTCATAGTCTTCCAAAAATGACTGTAAAACAATGCACATAATGACCTAAGTTAAAAGAACTACCTACTCTGAAAATCCTCTGCCCCAAATACACTTTTTAACACTAAGTTTAAACTTTTAAGTTTAAGGTCCCTTATGGCCATATGCCTCAGGAATGATCAGCACAAGTAATATAAGGTGCACAATCTTCATTCTTTACAAACAGTGCTAACACTAACAGACTAACAGGCAGTTGCTTTCAGACTTCAGTTCCCTGAGAAAACCTCTGCAACTCACTTAAGTATGCATGTGCTGGGGCTGGAAGGTACAGGCAGGCAAATCAGACACTGTCAGCAGGTGCTACTGACTTTCTCTCCCCTCATCTCTCTAAAAGCGATCTACTAATTCACAGACAAACATCAATACTGGCATTTTCTCCCATGATTTTAAAAGGATCATCAGTACCTATAGGCCGTTAGGTCTGGTGTGACGGAGACAGAGTCCCAGCACCTGAACCAAAGGCCAGATCTTACAGAAGCATCTTTACTAATCTTCTCTTGCCAATCAGCTATGGCATGTATCATCTTGCTGGGCCTCTAAAAACCTTCATGGGGACTTCATTTGCCTCTGAAGTAAGACCAAGTATAGATTGTCCTGGCGTCTGGGTACAACAGACCCAAGCTTCCCTCACCACAGTCAAGGTCACCCCACAGTGACTCACACATCCACACATCCTTAGAAGGCCTCCAACTCCCTCATCATTTAAATACTTTTTTTTTTTTCTGGCCAAAGCTGTTCTCTCTTGGAATATTCCTTTATTCTACCCTTCAACTACTCACTCTCTCTTGTTTTTCAAAGTACAGTTTTTATCCCACACTTTTCCCAAACAGATGATAAAAAAGCCTCTTTCAGAGCCATTTATGACTTGCCCGGACCAGTCATTTCTACGTTTAAAAAATATCAATTTCTTCATGTTTTATCTATGTATCTCTCACTGCCTTGGTAAACTCCACAATGCAACAGCAAGTGGCTTTTACTTCTTTGCATCTCACCAAGGCCAATTACAGTACTGAATGGCTAATAAGGGTGCAGCAAATACTCAGTGGGTACAGAGAAAGCAATGCTGGGAAGAAAGTTCTGCACAAATGAAAAGCACTTCCTGTGGGGTTCATCAGTCATCAATTTATCAGGATAAACCCAGTGGTCTAGGAATCAGGGCTGGCCAATTCCATAACAATGAAAGAAAACATATCCTTGCTCAGAGAAATGAAAGAAAAAAAGAAGAACATTTACTTGGGACCCAGAGGTCAGCAGCACAGCAGTCATGCCATTTTCTTTTGGGTTTCCAGCATGGAGAAGGTCTGAGTCAGCAAAAAGTGATCCTAGAAGTGGAGACAGGCGCCATGATGATTACTCTGCAATAAACGCGCAGCAAGTGCCACACACCAGTTACTTGTCATCTAAGAAGAGTCAACACAGGGAACCAAAAGGCAATCGCATAATATTCTTTAACCAAGACAGCCTTGACCATTGCTGCCTCAGGCTCCTCCTGTCCTCCTCTGCCCTTAAACTCTAGCAGAACTGCTATGAACATGTGGACATATAAACATATTTTTATCTTGTATGTGCTAAGTAGTCAAAATAATACTCAAATTCTTTCTGTGTCCATTCCTCACTTAGTGATTGATCCTTGTTATATTCCAGACTCACAGGATGAACGAAGACTAAATTCTTTTTGAACACTGGCTTTTCAGATATTAATACAATACTGCCTGACTCAGAAAGTGATGGGTCTTGTGGAAAAACCACCACCACCAAAACCAAAACAAGATTGTAAACAAATTCCGTGACTTCTCAAATCCCCGTTTTCCCTACCTTTCAAAAGGGTCAGTTAGTCCCTTCCTACTGCCTTACAGGGTTCCTCTGAGGTCAAAAAAGAAGTCATTATCGAAAGCCAAATTGTTAGATGTGTTGGTATTTTCCCTTGGGCAAGGGAGGCATCCAGCGCCCTACAGACCAGGAGGGCAACGGAGGTGGCGTCTGTCCCTCAAAACCCCAAGTGAGACCGGCTAGTAGGAAGGAGCTCGTGATACTACTCCCTCCTGAGCCTGCCCCAGCCAGAGGCAGCCTTTCTCCCTCTCTAGCAGGTACCAAGGCCGCCTGACTCCCAAATCCTCACCTCTGCCCCCAGGCTCCATGACGACTCCTTCCTCGGGGCCCGCGGTGGGGGCAACTGGCGCTGGGGAACGGGCCGGGGGTCAGTCGCTCGGGTCCCCCCAGAGGCCCGGAACGCAAGCGCGACCCTCGCCGAGCAGCCCGGCGCCCGCACCCGGGGGTTCTTCCCGCCACCCTCCCGGGCCCTTAGAAGAGGATGCGCTCAGTCCTCCTCGATCCTGGGTCCGACCTCCAGCCAGACACGGAGGAAGCCAAGCCAGACGACAAAGGCATCTAACAGTCTGCAGGGACACCTCGCGCCGGCCTGCCGAGAGGCCGAACTACCACTCCCAGAATCCTCCGCGGGGCGCGGCTGGCAGCCCCCACCCCCAACGCCGCTTCCCAGAGGACCCAGCGGTCTCCGCGCCCGGAGCTGCGTTTGCTGCAGCGGTTCGCGCTGGACCAGTCTGGAGGAGCGCTCGCTTGTTCGTGAAGCCCTGCCCATTGCTCTCGAAGGGCCGCTTCTCCCTCCGTGCCGACTGTGGGCGGTGGCCGCGCCAAACCTCGCCCGGCCTGGGACTTTTGCATCCCCGCTACTGTGACGACAGAAGGCAGCGCCCCAGACCCACGCAAGATCCCTCCCTGGCTGCGTGCGATGCTCCCTCGGAGGGTAGGTGTCCCGCGGTATCCCCGCTGCTGCGCCTCCACGCATCGTACCTTCCTGGCCTGCACAGAGGTGATCTCAGTTTACTTCCGATAACCAGGGATGTTTGTTCCAGACTGCACCTCGGAATAAAGAAAAATGGAATTTCAATCCCGAAATCACTTCAAACCCCCCAAATAGCCAGGTCTCCAAGAAGAACCAGTAAACTAGTGCTGCTGCCCCAAGGTGGCTGAGCCTGAAGGTTTTGCAGACTCCTCCAGAGCTCTAGGGGTGGGCTGGTCTTCAGACTAGTGAGTGTTTTCATATACCTTCCCACGATAAAGTGCCAGGTTTCTGCCCAGTTTAGAAAGAGAAAACCTAATTAGCTTAGCTGTGTCCTTGTTTGGATACAAGCCAAAATGTCCAATTGACCTTTCTCCAACAGAATCTCCAATTTTTAGCTAGGCTTAAGGTTTCCCAAGGCTTCTAATTATTGCTGTCCTTTGCCCTCCCCGGCACCCCCCTGCCCCTGCTGGAACATAGTAAATCATCATGCGCTGTGTGGACTAGGTTAACACCCTAGGGATGGTAAACCAACAAGATAGAAGGAACGGAGCTTGGCCTTTAGCATGAGAGATGCAAACTTCTATTTTGTATAAGCCACTATTATTTTGGGTTTCTTCTGCACAGATAACCACACTTAATCTCTAGCTGGTCCGTAGATTGGCTGCATTTGGTCCAGGCCGCTAGGGCTGGTGGGGATAAAGGACATGTGGTAGGGACACAGCCCTGCCAGCTCAAATGACAGCCTAAGGGAGTCTCCCCGCCCTTCATTCCGCAGGAGACATGGGATAGGCAGTTTCCTTCAGAAGATGCTTCATATGAAAGACACCACCCCCTGATGTTTTGGAAACCCCAGGGATAAGGTCTAGGCCTTGCAGCTTGCTGCACAAAAAAGCCAATCACTGAGAGGAGTATTGCCAAGGAAGAAGGCTTTAATCAGGTGCTGCAGCCAAGAAGATGGGAGACTAGCTGCAAATCCATCTCCCTAACCTACTAAAATTAGGGGTCTATATAGCAGGCAAGAAATGTAACTGTGTAGGGGAAAACAGGACTAGGGAGGATTAAGGAACCAGTCATGAAGAAAGAGACGGATCTGGTGTATCTTTGTCTGGATGCCGTCATCTGGTGTGTTTCAGTTCTTTTTTTTAAAATCAAATGCTCTCTCAGAATCATCTTTTGATACTTCCTTGAGGAGCCCTAGGGTATTTACTGAGGAAGGAACTAAGATAAAACAAGTATAAGTTTCAAGCTTTAAGACCAGAGAGTCTGTGGTGGGTTCAGGCCTTTTGTCTCAGCACTTTGGGAGGCCGAGTCCGGGCAAGACAGATGGATCACTTGAGGTCAGGAGTTCCTAACCAGCCTGGTCAACATGGTGAAACCCATCTCTATTAAAAATACAAAAATTAGCCCGGCGTGATGGCACACACCTGTAATCCCAGCTACTTGGGAGGCTGAGGCAGGAGAATTGCTTGAACTGGGACCCAGGAGACAGGTTGCAGTGAGCCAAGATTGTGCTACTGCACTCCAGCCTGGGCGAGAGAGCAAGATTTCGTTTCAAAAAAAAGTAAACAAATTAAAATTAAAACGCCAGAAAGTCAGTTTCTATGTTTATCCAAAATAAGGTCTGTGGGTCTATTGGGCTGGTTTCAATGTGTCTAGAGAACCCCTTTCTTCTTATTGCTAACCGTCCCCATCACAGATATCTCTCTTTTTTGTTACCAAATCAATTGTCAGTCCTCATCTCACTCCATTAACATCAGGTGATAACACTTGGCTACTCCCTACTCCTGGAAATACTCTGGTTTTCTTCCTCCTTGACTGGTCACTCTTTCTCAATCTCATTAGTTATTTTGTCTTCTCCTCACCTCTAAACCAATGTTTTCCAAACGACAGTCATGCATCACTTAACAACCAGGATACCCTCAGAGAAATGCATTCTTAGGTGATTTTGTTCTTGTGTGAACATCATAGAATGTATTTATGAGAACCTACACTGTACCACCTATTGCACACCCAGGCTGTATGGTATAGCCTTTTGTTCCAAAGCTATAAACGTACAGCTAGTGAATTATATGGTGAATACTGTAGGTCATTGTAACACAATGGTATTTGTATATCTGAACATATCTAAATATAGAAAGGATTCAACAAAAATACAATATAAAAGATAGAAAATAGCACACCTGTATAGGGCACTTACCATGATTGGAACTTGCAGGACTGGAGGTTACTTTGTTACCAAAACACCAGGGTTTGAGTCTAGGTCCTGCCACTCATAGCACAGGAAGCTGATGATTAAAACCATAATCTCACAGCACAGGAAGCCAATGACTGAGATGATTATCAGGTGCTGCAGCTGCGAAGATGGGAGGTCAGTATCAGATTCATATCCCTGACCCACTGAAAGTAGGGATTTATCTGGCAGGGAAGAAATGTAACAATGTGTGGGAAAATAGGAACTCAGGACAGGTAGGTTAGCACTCATGATGCATGTGGTGCCTGGTGTGTCACTGTTTGGATGCGGTGATCTGGTGAGTTTCCTTTCTTTGATTTTTTTTTTTTTTTTACATGGAGTTTTTTTGTTGTTGTTGTCTAGGCTGGAGTGCAGTGGCGTGATCTTGGCTCACAAGTTATTTTATTTTTTTTCTGATAAACATAGAAAGTGTCCATTCTAGTCTGAAAGCTTGAAACTTCCGTTTGTTTTATCTGAGTTCCTTCCTCAGGAAAGAAACCCCAGGCCTCTTAAAAGTATCAAAAAGGCTGGGCGCAGTGGCTCATGCCTGTAATCTCTGCACTTTGGGAGGCCGAGGCAGGTGGATCACATGAGGTCACAAGTTTGAGACCAGCCTGGCCAACATGATGAAAATACATGTCTCTACTAAAAATACAAAAATTAGCCGGGCATGGTTGTGCACACCTGTAATCCCAGCTACTGGGGAGGCTGAGATAGGAGAATCGCTTAAACCCAGTAGGTGGAGGTTGCAGTGAGCTGAGATGGTGCCACTGCACTCCAGCCTGGGTGACAGAGCAAGGCTCTGTCCTCAAAAAAAGAAGTTACCTTTTCTTTCCTCTAAGTCTTAGAAAAAGTTTCCCTTAGCTTACTATAAATTTTTTACTTTATAAACTTTTTAATTTGTTTAACTTTTTCGACTTTTGTAATAACACTTAAACATAACACATTGTACAGCTGTCAAAAATATTTATTTTCTTTGTATCTGCATTCTATAACCTTTTTTCTTTTTTAACATTTCTTATTTAATTTTTTTTTGTTAAAAACTAACACACTCTAGCTGGGTATGTGGCACGTGCCTGTAATCCTAGCTACTGAGGAGGTATAGACAGAAGGATGGCTTTTAGCCTAGGAGTTCCAGCTATAATTTTGCCACTGCACTCCAGCCTGGGTAACAGGGTGAGACTGTATCTCAAAAAAAAAAAAAAAAAAGCAGAAAAGGAAAAACTAAGACACATGTACACATTGTCCTAGGCCTATGCAAGGTCAGGGTCATCAGTATCACTGTCTTCCACCTTCACGTCTGGAAGCTCTTCAAGGGCAGTAACATGCATGGACCTGTCATCTCCTAGGATAGCAATGCCTGCTTCCAGGATACCTCTTGAAGGACCTCTCAGAGGCTGTTTTACATTAACTGTTTTCCTTTTAAGTAGGAGTATACTCTAAAATAATGATAGAATGTATATAGTATAATAAGTACATAAACAGTAACATAGTCATTTATTATTAGCAAGTATTATGTACTATACATAATTGTATTGCTGTACTTTTACACAACTGATAGCACAGTAGGTTTGTTTACACCAGCATCGCCACAAGCACAAGTAATGTATTGCGCTAATGGCTACAGCATTACTCGGCAATAGGAATATTTCAGTTCCGTTATAATTGTGTGGAACCACCATCATATATGTGGTCTGTCATTGACTGAAATGCTGTTTTGTGGCACACAATTATATCATAATCAAAATCATCTGAAAGTCTTGTTAAAACACAGTGCTGAACTCCACCCCCATTCAGGTGGTCTGAGGTGGGGCCTGAGAATTTATATTTCTGTCAGCTTCCCAGGTGATTCTGAAGCTGCTCATCTGAGAACCAACCAAATGTTGAAATGCCTCAGAGCTCAGGCCTTGGGCCTGTCTTCTTCCGTCCACACTAGAATAGCAGTGCCTACTCTTAGGTGATCTTGTTTTACCCACATACTGTAAATACCATCCAAATGTGGTCAGCTCTCAATTTATATCTCCAGTTTGGGCTTTTCCCCTGACCTGGAGCTATCTCCTCTACTTCTTCACTTGATGTTTCATGACCATCTCTAATGTAGCATGTTCAAAAGTGAACCTCTGCTGTTTCCCCTCCCCCACTGCCAAACCTCTTCCCCCTGCAGTTTTCCCCACCTTGGCAAATGGCAGTTTGATCTTTGGTTGCTCAGTTCAAATACCTTGGACTCATCATTCTCTTTATCTCACGTTGCACATGCAGTTTCTCAGAAACTTCTGTTGGCTCTACTCTCAAAATACAGGCAGAATCTAATGACATTTCACCACCACCACGACCACCACCACCCTGGTTCAAATCATCAACTTTGCCTGAATCACTGCAAATGCCTGCTAACTAGTTTTACCCCTTCTACTCTTGTCCTGCACCTTCTATTCTCAACACAGAGGCTCTCTCATCTCAGAATAAAAACCGAAAGTCTTTATGATGGCCCACAGCCCCTTCATAACCTATACCACCCACCTCCACTGGCTCCCTGATCTCTTCTAGGACTTTCCCCGTGCTCGCCCTGTTGCAGCCACGCTGGCCTTCTTGTCTTTCTTCCACTCTGGAGCCCTCTGCTTCTTCCTCAGCCTGCATAATTTTTCCCCCAGGTGGCCACCAGGCTTGCTCTCTGACTAGCACCAAGCCTCTGTTCACCGTCTCTGTGAAGCCTTTTTGTCCCTCATTACTTTCTTTTCCATAGCACCTATCTCTCTAATATTATATTATTATAAAATATATTATAAACTATTAATTTTATTTATATTAACTTTATAAATTATTAATTTTATTTCTTGGGTGTCCCCCAGTGCACATGCAGCGGGGATCAGGCTCCATGGGGAAGGAGTATCCCCTGGGTGTTTACTGGTACTTACATGATGAGTCACTGAAGGAGAGTGTACTCTTCTCTGTATGATGCTGACAAGGTAAAAGTGCCTGAAACTAATATGGTCCTTAGTGCTTTTTTTGGCTTTAATTTCTGTGCTTCTGGAAAATGTGGACTTTCTTCACAACCCTGCTTTCGTTTACATGGGCACTACTTTAGAATAATGTGGCCTTGAACAGCAGTAACGCCCCTCACCCACTGTAGCACATACATTGGTATCACATAGCAGTAGGGTGGATTTGGAACACTTGCAATAAAAACCCATGAGTCC